GAGGGTTCAGAACTTGGTTGGAGCATATATCATATCTCTCCCCTTGTCTCTATATTTTAGCCTCCAAAAGAGCCTTGATCTTGGCCCTTTACACACCACCTCACAACCACACACTTCCACCATCACTCTAAGGTTCCTGGAGCTTGTTTTCAGAGGCTAAGGAGTTGTTTTTTGGTCCAGAAGCTGCTAGAGTTCTTGGCTACAAGGGTAACACACTTTTTTCCCCTTCTTAGCTTTATTTTGCGTCGTATCTTAGCTAAACTTGCAAGCATATTTGGGCTTTGTCATAAAATGGAAAAAGTCTTATTTTGAGGTCCTTAACATGTTTGTTTCAGACCATTTTTCTGTTGGGAGTCATCTACCCCCTTTGCATGCTTCATTTCATCTTATGTTGAGCCATGCCTTAGGGCCTTTGCATTGAACTTTGCTTGGTCTCTTAGCCACTGAAATCCAGTGGATTTTCAGTGGCTAGCATGCTGTTTTGAACACCAAAATCAGAGAGGGGTGACCCTCTCAACCCTTGTCTTGTTTACTAGCATATTTGGCCTAACAAAGGAGCCCTTATTTGCATACTTCCAAGCCATATTTCAGGCCATTTTTGGTGGGTTTTAGGACCTGCATAGGCTCTTTCGAGAGCCCTTTTTTCCATTTTGGGTGCCCATCTTGCATGTGTAGAACAACCCTCTTTATAGCCTATCAAAGGAGCCTATCATTCTTGCATGCATAGACCATGTTTTAGTGGTTTTTTGGGCTTTATTTGGCATGTCATATCTCTAAATTTTTCTGGTTTGGTGGCCTCTTGATTGCCTCACATGCTTGCAGTGCAAATCGTCTTTACTAGCTTACATTGCATGCTATTTTGGCCATTGATTCTAGCACTTTTTGGCCATGCTTTAAACTAATTTTGTGCATGTTTTGGACTGCCTTAGCTCTGTTTTTATGCCTCATGGTCGAATGATGCTTGCTATGCATGGTTGTAGTTCAATACCCTCGCCTAGCTTTGAGTTTTGGAGCCTATTGCATGCTTATGTTGAGGTGTTTCCATGTTTTGGGGCCATTGTACATCATATTTCAGAACTTACACGTATGCCATATTCCCATGTTTTCCACTCTTTAAATGCGTTTGAGAGTCGTGCTTGTATGCCTCGTTTTTGGACCATTGCATGAGCTTCATTTCCATGCATTTTGAGCCATCATTTTAGACCATTTTCCCACTGTCTTGGACCTGCATAGGGACTGTTTGCGGCTGGTTGGGTTATTTGAGCATTGCTTTGTGTACCTCTAGTGTTATGCACTTCACTAGTTTCGGTATCCGGGCCATCTAGCATGCATTGTGTGAGGTGTTTGCATGATTCGGGACCATCTTGCATGTCATTTCAGAGCTGGAAAATGTGTAATTGTATGCCATATTTCATCCCTTACCATGCTTTGGTAGAGTGGCATTTTATGCCTTAGGTTCGGTCCCTTGCATTGGGCATGTTTGCATGAGTGTTCCTGCCTTTAATTTCATCATGTTTGGCCACTGATTTGAGTGTGGCTGAGGTCCACTCATCTTGGTTTAAGTCCATCTTGCATCGTGTATGCCATGTCCATGTTGTCGCGCGCTTGATCGTCGCATTGTGTATGCCTTGTTCATGTCTTCGTGCATGTCCATCTTCGTATGTGCATTGCGTATGACATATAGTTCATGCGCATTGAGTATGCCATTCTTAGTTCATAGCATTGTGTATGCAAGTTGCATGTTTGCATATCATCCTTCGCATGCTAGCATGATTAGGTTGCATTGCGTTTAGGGTTGCATGCTAGTCGTATTGTGTATGCCATGTATATTACATTGTGTTTGGAATAGGGTTTAGTCCAAACACGGGAAATGAGGGACGTTACGTAATCCAAGTGACGAAACGTGCCTCGATTCTCGGTCGCCGACACTCCGGATTACCAATGATGGAGTTTAGGCCTTGTTGTGTTTATATGTGTATTCATTTTACGTTGAGTCGTGCAATTCGACTCCTCGGCCATCATGCATCGAGATGCATGATTGGTGGCACGAGGATCGAAGACTACACTCCCTGGAGCTTGTGCAATGATGGGGAGTGTGGTCATGCATACATATGTTGAAAATACTTTGCCATGCCCCTTTCTTGCTCTATGTTGCAGCAAGGCGACTTGAGTATGCATGCATCCCTATCGTTAAGAATAGAGCTAAGGCAGTCCATTCTACATAGTTTTGCATGCTAGTTTATTGCTTACTTAGTTAATTTGTTAATTAATTAATGTTGTGTAATAATTTGTTGTAATTCGTTATTCATTCAGTTGTGTATTATTTATTCGGACCCTCCGCGAGAGGGAAAACTTTGTAATAAGTGTGCATGTGTGTGATGTATGTCTTCCAACCCCACGTCTTTCTTCCTTTTATTTGCCAGCTTATGATGGTTTGTTTTAGGGCATGTTTCAATTAGCATCTATATGTTCGTATGCTTGCATTCATTCATCTGTATTGCATGCACCGGGCTCGGCGCATCATGCTAACTGCATTGTATTTCAATTCCAAGTTGAATACATGTATCGATTGTTGCATCTCATATGCCATCTTAGAATAGCCGAGCCTATTGTAGTTGCATTTTGCATGTGTTGGATTAGGTATTCTTAATATAGCTAGGGTCATTCATTGATTTCTGACATAGCTTCTGTTTTGGCTCGGAGTACTCGGTAAGGGTTTTATGCTTTAGCATCTTTGCATGTGTGTGAGTGACTGCCATGGTAGTATGCTTACCATGAGGCTATTTGCTTATGTGATATAACTGCCTGAATGCCTGTGGGTGGAGGTTGGATTATTTTAATTGGAACAATGCACTAAATGAGAGTTTTAAGCCCACTTGAGAGTGGCAAAATCATGTTTTCTAAGCCCACCCGAGGGTGGCAAAATCCACGTCTTAGCCTACTTGCGAGTAGCACCTTCAAACCATTTTACAAAACGAACATGAGATGTTTTGTTCCAACTCAAACGTTCCTATCTATACTTGTATACTGTGTGCATCACATAGTAATTCTAGGCTAATAACCGGAATAAGAGCACATAATGTTTTCAAAACTCGATATCATGGTTAGTAGAGGCCGATCTTTGATCGGGCGAGTGGGGGTACTCACAAAGTGACCTTCCCTAATCGTACCCAAGTTCCTGAGCCGAGGCGACTTTGGTGATGACGGACACGTGGCCTTAGGTACGAGTCTGGGTTTCCTAAATTTCTCAAAATAAAATATTTAGGTGGCGACTCTGTATCTGACAAAGCAGTCCATGTTTGGCACTTCTTTCAAAAAAATCTATTTTCAAAAATAATTTGCCGGATTTGGACTCTTTGATGATTCATCGGCCTTGCATTGCACTCTACGAGATTAGATACAGGACCGTGACATTGAGTCTTGAACTGTAGTAAGCTCCAATGAACAAAACGGGATTTTTCCCGGGACGTTCGGGGACGTCTACACAAGGTTGCACTTATCTGGAAGAGGTTAGTTTCAACTCAGAGTCGTCAAAAGAGTTATGCTGGCCGTAAGGGGAGACCGTTATCATTTGAAGTGGAGGGTCACGTCTTCTTGAAAATATCACCCAGGTGAGGTTTGATGATGTTTGGAAAGAGCGGGAAGTTGTCTCCTAGATTTATTGGGCCTTTTAAGATCCTAGAACTTATTGGAGAGGTAGCTTATCATTTGGTCTTGCCACTACGGCTTTCTGGGGTTCATGACGTGTTTCGTATTTGTATGCTCCAGAAGTATAAGCTGGATCCATCACACATGTTGGATTGGACCGAGTTAGAGGTAGATGAGGATGACTCGTACGAGAAGAGATCAGTTAGAGTCTTAGATACCCAGGACCAAGTCTTGCGAAGCAAGACAATTCCATCAGTAAAGGTGTTGTGAAGACACCATGGTATTGAGAAGGAGACTTGGGAACGTGAGGCGGAAGCCCATGAGAAGTATCCAGACCTTTTTGCTGATGTTTGAAACTTGTAATAAAATTTTGTTATGTTGATCAAATGTAAAACATTGCATATGTTTTGGAAAAAAGTGAATTGACTTAAATACGATGGTTATTGTGTTGATTTTAAAATTTCGAGGACAAAATTCCTTAACGGGGGAGGTTATAACGATTCCGGTTTAGACCTAACCCGATTATTATTTTAGATTCGAGATATCTTGTCCTGTACCACTATTCATGTCCTTATTCATCTTGTACTTCACTGAGTTTGGCTATTGGAGTATCGTTGTCGTGTTTGGAACTGGTTCGGAGTTAGTCTTTTCAAACCTGTGCTACCCAGGTTTTGACATGTTTGCTCGAGCAAACTTTCTTGTGCTCAATCGGTCACTCGGAGCTCTTAGTACTTTTGCAGGTGCAAAAGTACTAGAAGGTGGTATTCTTCTCTCGAGCGGTCACTTTGTTCGCTCGAGCGGTCTGTGCGTATAACAGTTCGTAAAGTCACATTTTTAGTCACTTTTTCACATCTCTCTCTCTCTCTCTCTAAGCAACTCAAGCACCACTCGCAAATTGAAATTGAATTTTAGGAGTTCGTAAAGTCACCTTTTTGAGTCAATTAAGGACTATCAATGTAATTTGTACTAATAAAATTTACTTGATAAAATTGAAATTATTCTAACAAAAGGGGTAATGAATATTGATAAAATGTCAGGTGTAATAAATAATTTTCAAAAATTTGGACAGCTGCACCACGTGCCCTTTATAGTTTCACCCCTAGTTATCCAACTATTATTATTATGGATAAATTATGAGGATGGTCCTATATTTTGATTTTTGTATCATTTTTGTTCTTATTATTTTAGTTGATTTAATTTTTATCATAAATTTATGACTTAGTTTCAATTTTTTCTAATTAATTACTGCTCCTAAAATTTTTGTCTGATAATTATGCACATACGTAACATGTGTTATATGTTTAAGAATAAAATTATAATTTACTCAACTCAATAAGTTGACATCAACCAATTCAACAATCATCTTCGTCAAAACCACTAGTACCGATATTATCAACTGGGTCAAATTGATACAAAATATAAATCAAACAGTCAAAATTGAACTACTTGAAAGTATAATGATCAAAATAATACAAGTGACAAAATGTATAGACTGCAAATTTAATTTGCCCGATTATTACTTTCAAAAAAATGCAACAACTTAGATAACCATCACATAGAAGGAAATCTTGGGGGTCATCGTGTGGATTATATCGAAAGTAGGACATTTATAGTGTTTTTATTATTATTATTTATTTATAGATTCATATGACATTTATAGTGTTGATATCATAAATATTATAATTAAATCACTTTTAAATTGTCACTAAAAAAATATTATAATTTTTAACCAAACATAACATAATTAAAGATTTTATCGGTCGTAACTAAAATAATAATAACAATAAGTCATAACTGATATATTATAATAAGTTATAATCAAGCAATAAGTAAACATTATAACAAAATATCACATGAGACATAATCAAAGATCTCTTCAATCATTAACAAAATAAATTATAACTAAAATATAACCAACACCACAATGAGATTGGGAATATGGTCTACACCAAAAATATATATATACATATATATATTGTGAAATTTCCAAATTTTCTGACTTTGAATATATGTCAAATGCGAACCAAACTAAGTTTTTGTTTAGGATGTGTGTTGACTTTTTGGTATTTTAGCTATTTTAGTTTGGGTTAAAAAATCTCATTTGAGATAGACTTTTTGACTTTTTATGATTTTTGTAAGAGAAAAAATAAAATGATTATAATTTAGATATGACATTTTGTGTTATTGACTTTTTAGTCTATTTTGTGACTTTTTTAACTAAAAAAAATTTATGTTGAACATATTCTGGATAACAATAACAAGTGGGAACGGATCATACCTTTAAAGTTGTTACACCAAGATACAAAATTTGAAGCAAAGTCAAATTCCCGATTGTCTTTGGAATGAAACCCACTGAATTTATTGTAAGACAATGATATGATTTGGAGCTGTCTACATTCACCTAGAGTTGTTGGAATTTGGCCGTCATTCTTAGAAAGACGGAGAAATTCAAGTTTCGGAAGAAAAACGCACAAATCCTCCGGAAGACTACCAGACAACATATTATATGTGAAATCGATCAATTCAAGTGATGAGACGTTGAAGATGGTTGGGGGTATAGACCCCGAAAAATGATTAAATCGCATGAATAACGTCTTCAGTTTAGGAAGATAACCAATCTCTTCGGGAACTCTTCCCTCCAGAAAATTGTACCTTAAATCGAGAGACTCTAACGTTGATGTGTTGCCAATGGAAGCTGGAACCGAACCCATCAAACTGTTGTTTCTGAGACGCAAGTACTGAAGCTTGGGTAAGTTTCCAAACCATGCCGGAACACTTCCATTGAAGTTATTGATTTTGAAGTCGACAACTTTTAGTCGATGCAATCGAGCTATCTCACCGGGAAGCTGACCATGGAAAGTGTTGTTGCTAATGTTAAAGTAGGATAGAAATGAGAGGTTTCCTATATGGGGTGGAATGGTGCCTCCTAGACCCAGGTTTGCAAGATTCAAGGCTATCACTTGACGGTGGTGCTTGCCACAAAAGACACCAATCCAGTCGCAGATAGAGGTGGCTGAGGACCAGTTATTTGCCAATATGTTGTGAGGATGGTTGAAAGTGATATGGGATTTGAAGGCTAAAAGAGCAGACTGATCAGTGTTGGAGTTGGGACCATTCATAGCCAAGCAGGCTAAGAAACAGTGTGCCAAGGACACTGCACTTAACTAGAGGAACCAAGTTTTCTCCATGAAGATAGCTTAGATATGGAAACAACAGTGATAGTGAGTAAACGGTTTATGTAAGAAACAACAAACGAACATAAATTTATCCGCAATACTAGGTATCATGAAAAACCTTTCATGAAAACTTTGTGACTCTTGGATCACACTTAGAATAAAGCACCACACACTAATCAAGGTAATCCAAGGGTCATCAATCTTTCATCATCATTTGCATGAAAAAAATTCATGATCCCTAACTTTTCTTTAAATTTATATAGATTTCATGCAAAATAATGTTGTTTCTTGTTCAAATTAAAATTTGACTAATAATTTTAATATAATTTTTTAAATATTAGGGGACTAATTAAAAATTAATTCTACGCATCATGAAATAAATATCATGAAAAGTTTCATGAAACTAATCTAAGGGTGATTGCATAACATATAATAAAACACAACAAACATTACAAACTAATCCAAGGGTGGAAAACCTTCATGAAAAGTTTTCATGATATTTCTTTCATAATACCTAACATTATTGCTAATTAAAATACCTTTTGTATATTAGAGATCAGATTGACCCAATTTAAATATTAAGAACCAAAGTGAAATCATTTTATATATTGATAATCAAATTGATACAATTTTAAACATTATGGACTAAAATGACACAAATCTCATATTTGAGAACTAAAAATCTAATTAACCTAAAATTATGTTTACAAATTATTTTCCCTTAAACAATACTATAGTTACATTTAGGAAATAAATATAATCTAACGATGAGATGACTTTATTTACATAATGTTATTAATTAATAAAAAATTACAAATAAAATTAAGTCTTCCACTTTGTAATCCCCAATATCATCTTTTAAGGTTTTCTGATTGATTAGTGATTTTACCAATATTTTGCATTGACTCCACATATCCGAACACCATCTGCCATGTTACCATCATGAAATTGAAGTGGCTGCTGTGCAAAACGCAATTATACAGTAGATTGGACTTACACTACAAGAATTTACACATTTACCAACCAAAAAAAATTTTAGTCGCAAAAAAATGACATTTGTTGACCAAATTAAAATTTCATTGCTGAAAATTATTTCTATTACCGACCAAAATTTTTTTCTTGCAAATAAGTAATTTTTTGCGACCAAATTAAAATTTTTGTCGCCAAAAATCTGGGCAGGAGAATAAAATCTGGGCGGGAGCTGTATGATCTTTCAGCGACTAATATCATTTGGTCGCTGATACCAAAATGACGTCGTTTTGGTATCCAAATTCTCATACAGACATTTGCCGACCAACAGGTTGGTTGGGGATAACTTTACTAATTCAAACACATAAATCATAAATACACTCCTCTTTTCTCCCTCAGTCGAATTCAATCAAAGCTAAGTCGCGCCATTCACCTCACCTTACCATCGACCTTGCCGTCCGTCTACGCCGCCGTCGTCTTCGCCATTTCTGATTCATCTAGGTATTTTTTTCAACTTGTAATAGTTTCTCTCTGTTTATATCTATGTGTCTTGCTATTTCTCTTTGATTTCTCATACTCGTCTTGTTCTACAATGTCTCACCCATCAGGGCCCTCACCATCGCGATTTTTCGGAGCATCTTCAACTCTCCCTAAAAACAATTTCAGGTATAAATCCTTTGTATCACTCTCATGAACTCAGTCTCTGCCTGTGTCTCCCTCTCACTGTCAATGTTTGTGTTGATGTTTGCTACTAGGATATGTCAATTATAAGATTTCGTTCTGTTGTTTGTGAAGACCCCCAATCTGTGATGTTCTTATAGTGTTTTATTTCTCCTCTTTCTTTAAGTATCCCTTTTTATATTGGGAAATATACTTAATGAGTTTTTTAAAAAAAATTGGGTGCTTTTGTAAGTTATTTGTAATTTGATTTCCAAACAAGCTAGTTGGTTAATAGGATTTATTCCTGAGATTTTTTAAGTACCCTTAAATGAGCCACAAGCTCTACAAGGACTTACCCTATATACCATCCTTTACAAGTTGGAGTTGAATTTTTAAGAAGAGACTTAAAAATTAAAAATTAAATGAAAAAATAGAGTGAATCTATGTACGCAGAAAAATTATGGTTGTCTTATATACAGGGTAGCACATCTTCCATTAATCACAAATAGCCATTTATGTTGCCTCTCAGATACCATAATAAATATGAAAGATGTCTATCAATCCCTAAACCAATTACAATATCCTAAACCAATTAAAATATAATAAAAAAATAAGTTAACACCGTGGCAATATCCTCTTAGGCATGCAATTATTGTTCATCTCAATGCTATTTATGTAAGGTAAACAAAAGATATACCAAATTATTTTCTATAAGAATTGAACTTGCAAACTTCACATTACCAAGTAGTACCATATAACCACTAGACTAAAAGCCCCAATTATGTTATAGACCTTGCCTAAGTGGGATTTATGTGGGGTTAAGGAAAAAAAAAATAAAGTAGTAGAATTTTTAATCTGAGTTTATATGTTACGGGAGCATCTCTCCTAATTTTTATTTTTTTTTTATCAGTAAAGAAAAATTTTACTCATGAAGGAATCATATATTACATATGAGTTTACACCAATAAGGATGAAAAGGAAAAAAAAAAAGTGGGGAGGGGTGGAACAAAGCATGATGTTGGTGAGAAACCAACTCTAGCTTAAGCCAACACTTGGGGCCACCCAAAGACTAGTTTTACAATTGGTTATAACCCACAAGAGCACTTAACTTTAAATCCTCCACACTTACCACACTATTGCCAATAGAAGAGTTTTACACAATCTTGTCCTATTCTCTTGTCTCAAATTCTATATCGTACCGCACAATAAATATTTTTAACATGATTGTGGAGTGAAGAGTTGATCTAGTATAAAGAGGAAGAAATGATTTGGACATAGGATTGCCATTTGTTTATTCAACAAATCAAATGGAAAAATTTATGAAGTGTTATTTTATTCATTTATCAATTGATGCTTTTATGTTATCTTATGAAACACCAACAAAAAAGGTTATTAAATCTTACTATTTAAACAAATAAATATTTAATTGAACCACCACATCAATTTGTTCAATAATTTTTCAGCACTCAAAGGTGTTGACTTCTGTAGAGTTGATTAATTACTATAGAGTTTAGGGCACCAAACCGAATAGAGATTTGGTTGCTTGTCCGTAAAGTGCACAATAGCAGATAGAGGTATGTGGAAAGAAACCTTAGTTTTATATTTTTTGATTCAAAGGAAAGAAACCTTAGTGGCCAAGTTTAAGAGAAGAAGAAATTTATTGAGCTTAGTGGCCAGGTTTGATTCAAAGGAAAGAAACCATAGTTTTTGTTGGCTATATTTTAATATTTTATTTTACAAAGTATATGTGTCACACATGTTTATGGATGCTTGTGGCCAGGTATTGGTCTCTTCTTTTTATTATTGTTTTTATTAGGAGTTTTGTTTTAACAAAAAGATTTATGATCTTTAATGTGAAGTTGGGCCGAATACATGTGTGCAAGGATGGACTTGTGGAATAAATTTATTGACCAATAAATCAAATATTGTAGAGTAGCTCCTTTATCTTTTGGATCATCTAGTTTGTTTATTTTGCTTTTAGTTCAAATATATAGTGTTTATCTGTAAGGATGTTAGCAAGTTCTAAAATTCCAAATTTTTACTTAGTGTCTTATGGATATCAAAGATCTTAATTAGCTTTAACACTTTTTATTCAATCAGTTGTCTTGTACCAGTTGATTATTTTACAAAATTTTCTATCATGAGAAGTTGATCATTTCACAATCTCTCCTTTTACACTAGTGTGTGCATTTTTCCATATAGGGTAGCAACTTTGATGGCGGTTTTTTTGTTTTTTTTTTCAATTGGCAGGTGATTATTTATATTTATGAAGATAATTATATTAAATTGAACAATCATAATTGATAAATAATAGAGCAAAAATAATCAATCTTTGTCTGTGGCATAAATTGACTCCCTGACCTTGTAATTAGAAGTATGTAAAAATTGTCAACTAAGCTAGTCCACTTGATTAACTGTCATAGTGACTTAAACATGTTAAAAGTCATAAGGGCATATTAGTTATTTTGAGGAAAGCAATGCCAATGGTCCATTTGGGCACACCAGGAAAAGAAGAGGTTGTGAAAGCAAATAAAGCACAAACACTTGTGCTTTATTTGATTGGTATCGTCATAGTCTCATTTTCCAAAGGCATAACAAAGAAAATGTATTGTTCCAAAGAAACACTTGGTAGTTTGTTCTACAATGTTTCCAGCTCCTTCCTCCTCCTTTTCCTCTTCTTCTACTTCACCTCCATTTTTCTTGCCAAACTCTTCAACTATTGTGGCAATCCAATCTTCCACTATTCTGTTCTGCTGATCTGTTTCCCCTGCTGTAGTGTTCCTCTGCTATGTTGATCCGAAAGAGAAAAGAAAAAATATATTTAGATTATTGTTGCGACTGCTAGTCTGTTAAAAAGAGGGTCTGAGGGTTGAAGCTGTTAGTCCTGCTAATAGTCTGCTAGTCTGCTAATAGTGTTGCTGATCTGTTAGACTGCCAATATTCTTGGAATTAGTCTTCCATTGAGTGTAGCTGGCTGCTTTTGTTGGGCTACTTGAACTAAAGACCTCCAAACATTAAAGGAGTATAGTCTAATTATATGAAATTGATGAGATATGTTGTAAGTTTTCCAAATTAATGGTGTAATTTATTTATTTAAAACACAAATGTTGTTCATATATGTAGAATCAGCTCTTTTACTCTGCTGATTTTCAACTCTTGGCTGCTTTTGTTGGTATGATTGTGCTTAGCAGTGGCAATTGACTGTTTTGTTTGTTGGTTTTGTTGCTTCGCTTTATTTGTTGGTTTCTCACCAACTGAAGCTTGGAGCTTGTGCTAGCTCCAAGCTCCTCTTTATTGAAGGATCTTTTCATACTTTGGTTGTATTCATCAATAAAGTTTTCTTTTGCTGATCACGTAGCTAAAAAATATTTGTTACTGTATCCTTGTTAGCATTGTTCTTTTGATTGCTTTGTTTCATAAGTGAAACACAAATTGTTTCATTTGGTGTGGAATTGTAGAACCCTATTTGAACAATTCTTAATGTAGCAAGCATTTCATGCTTGTAGGTTGCTTAATTTAGTTTATTTTATTTTCATTTTTGGGAATCTCTAATTTCTGTTACTGTTAGGAAATTTCATTTTGTAGTTTCTAACACTTTCTGTAATATTATGTAGATTAATTACTGTAATGGTTGTCTTTTAGCCTTTCAGATGGCCCAAATAGACAAGGGTTGGATGACAATAAAAAATAGGTTAAGTAGTAGGGAGTATCAAGAAGGGGTGAATTCATTTATTGAATTTGCGTTGAGAAATGTAGGCTTGGAGGATAAGTTTCGGTGTCCATGTATTGATTGCTTGAACGACAAAAAACATACGATCCACGTTACGTTGTTAGGATTCATTTGATTCGAAGTGGGATATCTCTTTCTTACAAGACCTGGGTGCACCATGGGGAACTTGTTCCCGTGGTTGAACCTCTCATACTGAATGAAGGTCACCATGACATATATAGTGAAATTGTAGGGGAAGATCAGGATGACGGGGATGATTTGCCTACTATGTTGGAAGAGGTTTGTAGGGGTTTTGCAATGGATGATGAAGGGGATGAATTACTTGCTACTTTGAGAGTGCAGATGGGCGAAACTTTGATAAGTTATTTGAAGATTCTCAACATAAACTATACCCGGAATGCACAAGGTTCATTGTGTTGTCATTTATTATTAAGATGCTTCACATTAAGGTGTACAACAAGTGGATTAATAAGTCATTTGAGATGGTTATGAAAGTTTTCAAGGACACTCTACCTGAGTGTGATGAGACTGTTCCATGGACCATATATGCTGCGAAAAGATTCTTACGTGACTTGGGTTTGGGCTACGTTCCCATTCATGCTTGTAGGTATGATTGTGCACTATTTTGGAAGGAGCATGTAAATCTTCATAATTGCCCCAAGTGTGAAGAGCCTAGATACAAGTTGGACAACGGAAAGGGTAAGAAGATCCCTCACAAGATATTGAGGTACTTTCTATTGACACCAAGGTTGAAGAGATTGTATATGTCCAAGAAAACCGCTACAGATATGAGATGACACAAGGAGAAACGTGTGGGTGATGGAATCTTGAGGCATCCAGTTGATGCTGAGGCATGGAAAGACTTTGATCGGCAACATCCTATGTTCACCATGGATCCACAAAAGGTAAGGCGAGGGCTCACCACCGATGGTTTCAATCCATTCAGAAATATGACCACATCATACAGTATGTGGCCCGTTATCCTAATGCCTTACAACCTCCCATCATGGAAGTGTATGAAAGAGCCTTTCTCCATGATGTCGTTGCTTATTCCTGGACAATCGGCTCCTAGAAGAGACATCGATGTTTACTTACGACCATTGATTGAGGAGTTGAAGGAGTTATGGGGGGATGGGGTGCGAACTTATGATGCGAAAAACGAAGAGTCATTTAGAATGCATGCTGCACTGATGTGGACCATCAACGACTTCCCTGCATATGGTAACATGTCCGGGTGGACTACTAAAGGTTATTTGGCTTGTCCCACTTGTAATGAGGACGCATCATCACAAAGGTTAACAAGTAAGATAGGGTACATGCGTGTTCGTCATTACTTGCCCGAGAACCACAGATAGCGAAGGAACAAGTTGTTTAACGGACAAAGTGAGGTTAGCTGCAAACCATTGGAGTTGCTAGGGGAGCAAATATTAGAGCAAATTGAGACTGGGACATACAAGCCGTTTGAAAAACATCCAAATAACAGGAAAAGACAAAAGGACGAAATTCCAGTGTTGAATTGGGCAAAGAGAAGCATTATGTTTGAATTGCCTTACTGGAAGACGCTTAAGCTTCGACACAACCTTAATGTCATGCACATAGAGAAGAACATTTGTGACAATTTGATGGGGACATTATTAAATGTGGATGGGAAGAACAAGGACACAGAAAAAGCACGGATTGATTTAGCAAATTTAAAAATTCGGAAGGAGTTACACCTACAGAGTCGTGGTGATGGGTCATTTATGAAGCCTCCAGCTGTGTACACATTATCCACGAAAGAAAGACAAGGCTTTGGTGCTTTTTTGAAATCAATCAAGTATCACGATGATTATGCAGCAAACATCTCCAATTGCGTGAATACTGACAGTGGCAAAATCTCAGGCCTCAAAAGTCATGATTGTCATGTGCTTGTACACCGACTACTTCCGGTTGGGATGCACGAGTATCTTAACAATGAAATTGGTATGACGTTGTTTGAGTTAGGAAATTTCTTCCAACAACTGTGTTCAAAGATGTTGCTGGTGACAGATTTACAGAAGCTAGAGGATCAAATCATACTTGTACTTTGCAAGCTTGAGAAGATTTTTCCTCTAGCTTTCTTTGATGTCATGGTTCACTTGGTTGTTCATTTACCGCGCGAGGAAATTCTCGGAGGGCCAGTGCAATATCGATGGATGTACCCAATTGAACGGTAATTATTTATGCTCTTACCATATCACTATCATCAACCTTTAATGGTAGTCTATATATTTTCAATGTAGTATGGACATAGTAAAAAACATTTCTCTTGTAGGCTACTTGGAATGCTAAAAGGATTTGTTGCCAATAAAGCTCATCCCGAAGGATCAATTGCAGAGGCGTACATTTCCAAAGAGTGTACAACTTTCTGCTCAATGTATCTTGATGGATTTGAAACAGTGTTTAATCGAGAAGAAAGGAATGATGACGGAGGTGATCACGGCTTGGGGTTAGCCATCTTCTTTCAAAAAGTTCATCCATTTGGTCTAATTAGTAGGGCACCAGATGTGCCTCTCCACGAACGAGAGATGGCTCAGTGGTTTGTCTTATACAATAGCTTTGACGTAGAACAATATGTACAGTATGTTTTCAGGCCTCAAAAAAGTTAAATTCGCCATAACATGTATTGTCTAATTATTCGTAATCATGTCTTACTTATCTACTATTCTTATTAATTAGGGAACACAAGAACATTTTACAAAATGGAAGTACATGTGACACCACAGAGAGGCAACGAGATGAATTTCCTAAGTGGTTCAAAGAATGTGTAAGACATACCTATCTACCCAACATTTGAGCACATTATGCTATAACCAACTTGAACAAAATATCATAACACGTATTGCTTATGTAGATAAATCAGTTGCGGAATCAAGGGTCGCTGGAAGCAACGGATGAATTGTGGTCGTTGGCCAACGGTCCTAGTGCAATAGTCAACACATATTCGGGATGCATTTCTAATGGTGTTAGATTTCATACCATCGACCGTGATAACCGTCGTAAAACTCAAAATAATGGGCTGGTTGTAGAAGGGAAGCATAAGGGTCATTCAATGCGTTTCTATGGTTACTTGAGGAAAGTGTGGGATATGACATATTTGTTTAGACATCGAGTTGTTTTGTACCAATGTGAATGATATAACACTGGTAGCAAGAAGACTTGTGTCACGGATACACATGTCACAAGTGTCGATGTAAAAAGTCGATGGTATGAACATGACCCCTTTGTATTCCCAGCTCAAGTAGAACAAGTATTCTACGTTAATGATACCAAATTAGGTGGGAATTGGAAAGTTGTAGAACGATTCCACCATCGAGGAATATGGAATGTGCCAGAGATGGATGGTTTACCTGATGATTCTCTAAATAGTGTGTTCTAACAAAATGAAACCACCGAGGTTGTACCAATTGTGGACGGAAACGGTATGCAAGTTGAAGGCGGTGGCGATCAAGGGGTTTTCTGTAGAGATGATATTGAAGGTGAAATTATTCCAAATACAATGGTTTCACAATCTCATTGTCAAACACAAGTCGAGGGTGTTGCTGATGCTTTCATTTGTGATATCGACGAAGATGACTTCATTGAGGACAATGATGAGCAAGAAGAAGATGAATTTTACATTGTTTAACTATATAAATCATGACATAGAACCTTGATGTATTTAATGCTCACTGTTTGAGGACATACTACAACACTTTTTGTTATATATGTTGCTGCTGTGCTACAACACTTTTTCTTAACTATATAAATTATGTGATCTTATCAAAACAAATATTGCATTATGGTTCAGAGCCTATAGTCCTTTCTTTTGTTAATCAGTTGATGATTTGGTGTTTAATTTGCAAAATGTGAAATTCTGCATCATGCACTGAGGGTTTGAACCTGTGAACTGCTGCTTTGGTTGTTGTTCTGTTCTAGTGCATTTGATTTAGAGTGTGTTCTGTGCTGTGTGTCTGATGTAGTGCCAGTTCTGTCTGTCTGCTGTAGTGTAGATACCTGAAGGGCTGGCTGTCTGCTATATTGACTGTTCTGTTTTTGCTGATGTGTTGATCTGTGGTGCCTGATTTGTTTTGCTTTGCTCATGGCTGTGTATCTGTTTTGTTGCTGTGTTAGCTTAAACAATCTTGGTGCTTGGAGTGGATGTAGGGCTGCTGTTGTTCAAGGCAGTGTGTTTGGTATGATTGTTGGGCTATAGTATTTCATGGCAGTTCTGTTCTGTTTTGGATTCTCTGCCTGAAGGGCTGGTAGTTTTCTCTGCCTTTTCTGTGTTGGTGATCTGTTTTGGTGGTTGGAAGGGTTGCTGTAGCGCCTCATCTAGTTTTTATTCATGGCAGTGCTATAGTGCCTAATCTTTCTGGATTTTCTGGCTTTATTTGCTTTGTTTGCTTTGTGTGTTGGTCTCTCACCAACTAGGAGGTTAGAGCTTGTTATAGATGTTCATTTCTTATAGATGTTCATTACTTTGTAGTGCTGTAGTGCCTAATCTTTATAGATGTTCATTGCTTTGTTTGCTTTTCATGGATGTATGTCATCAATATCACTTGCAAATTTACGTAGATGGATTAATATATATGTATGAAATTAAGATTTTCATGGATGTTCATTTCTTAGTTAATATATTTGTTAATTATTACTGTTGACGTATATGTATGTGTTCACGTTAAAAATTTGTGCTTATCCATGTGCTCATTGTGCACTTTGCGTTTGATGATGTTAAAATGTAACAGAATGGCTCCTGCAAAGAAGATACGCCGTTTACCACCACCGAAGAGGGCATTACTTGAACCCTACTCACCCACGACCGATACATTTACACCTTATCCTGAAGGTCTTGCAGCAGATGGATTTGAGCCTATTGGACCATCTCTGTCGGAAATTAATGTGTTGTCAGGATCTGAGACTATTGCACCATCTCCGTCTCAAACTAATGGACCACATGGATTTGAGATTTGTGAAGCATCTCCGTTTGAAACGCAGGCACCATCTCCTCAAAGTCAAACAAGTGGCGCAGGTAATTAAATATGTTTCATCTACCTTCAATTTATCTATTGTTTATATTTTTACATTAGTAAATACACTAATAACATTATCAAACATGTAGGTGCATCTTCATCAAGGCGAGTGCGGGGACCAACAGTTGGAAAAGCAACAGCAAAAAGAGTTGCAAACAATAATGGAAACAAGCTCCACATTCCAATCACTGAGACATTCAATGTATTCGAAGGTGTGCTAGAGACCGCAGGAGCTAATGAGATTGGCATTCAGATTAGGAGCATGTACCCCATTCAAGGAGTTAAAAGTTGGACTGTTGCTGATCCTGCGACAAAAGGGGTTGTTGTACAAGCTGTCCAGGTATGATTTAATTTATTTCATAGTATGTGTGGATTATGGAAAAAGTGCACTTTTCATGTGCATGTAGGATGGGAATTTGTTTTCTTTGTTGGTTATGAAAGCTTGTCATACATAGTAAAACTCTGCATATCTCGTTTCACAACAGTTTTATCTATTAGATTACCATTCTGACCCTCTGATTCATAATGGTAATCATGGTACCACCTTAGGAATCGTAGTCTGCTATTAAGAGGGTGTAGAGTTATAAGGCATAGAACTGGTTTGTTTTAGGCATTGGTAGCATATAGTTAATATAGAGTTATAAGGCATCTAACCATAAGGTTTAATTGGGAAACTGGATCAATAAAATGGCTATTTTTCCATAGATAATAACATTTGAAAGGGGGCAAACTTTATATTTTGTGCACAATGATTGAGGCCCTGATCCACAATGACTGCTCTTTTAAAGGGCTTTTTAAAACATGATGAAAGAAAGAGAAGAAAAAGTTAGATCTAATTCTCATCATTTGATTAGATGAATGTTTTGGTTGTGTTTTTCCATACTTGGAATGTGGGTTATATGTGTCATATGTACATTTAATTAAGTAAACTGTATCTAGCTGGCTAGAGCCTTTGCAACTCACTAGGGTTGAGGAGGGTTCAAGTATTGCAGTTGGAAAGATTCCCCCTCCCCCCATGCACCTCCAACGTACCCCAAAAAATAAATAATAAATTGTATGAGTGAATCCAAGAGTGGGACCAAGAGCACAAATGATACACATTTGAAAATGATATTAGTATTAGGCCCAAAGCAACTGTAGAGGGTGCATTTATATAAATTTGTTGGCTACATATATTTTATGGTCACACAAGATAGACACCCAGGTGACTTGTGTTCTAATATCACCTTCTTGTAGTGGTTTTTCACAAAATCATATTGCTTATCCCATGGGAGCCTACTAGTAGATGGCTTTAAATAATGTTGGTGCATGCTCTTAGCAGATCAATGGAAAACCTTGCACAAATTTGCCACCTTGTGCATGAGTTTGTTTGTAAGATGTATTTCATTTTCTGGAGAATCATTGTACTCATTTCGAAAATATTAGATACACTAAGAATCAATTAGGAAATTGTCAAGAATTGGCTTGAAAGCACCAACTCACAAAATTTTGGTATTTGAAGAAGTATTTTATGATACTAATTGTTACAATCACTAAGGCTAAGCTACATTGCTTTCATTGCTCACCATAATTATGTCCTATGGTTAAAATAGTTATGAGGTACAAATCGCCCCTTTTGGAATGTTTGACATGTGAATCATCTCAAGAACATGAGGTAGTGCACGTAATCACATAAGAATTGGTTAAATCCACAAATGCAAACTTGGTCGAATCAAGATGCATGAAACATATATGCAAAGCATGGATATAACAAGAAGCAAAATATGATGTTTATGTATAAATAAGGAAAGCAAGTAAAAAAATGAGATAGAAAGAAGCAAGGTAGGGAATTATTACAACACTTAGAATAAATAATTACAAACCGAATGAGAGAGAGAGAGAGAGAAAGAGAAAGAGAGAGAGAGAGAGACGAAGAAAATATTACAACAAAATAAAAAAATAACAAATAAAACCTCACTAAACACTCAAATGAAAATAAAATAGAAGTTTCAGGGGTCTCGAGGATCGCCGGAAACTATCATGCTCAACGCAAGGCGAACGCTTTGTTCTAAGTTAGCTGGCCGACCAACTAGGCCTAGCAGAACTTGTCTTGTTGCAACACCGAGAAAAGAACAAACAAAGAATATGTAGGTGGCTCAACTAACCACTTCCAATTAAATTACAACAAAACTAATATGACATTAAAGCAAAAAATAAATTTAACATAGAAAATACAAGAAAATGAAAGAATTGAAAATTCACCTTCTAATGAAAGATTGAACTTCTTGATTTCCAAACTTCCTTTCGATCACCCTTAAGGTTGTGAATTATGTTCTCAATCCTCAATTCAAAAGCTTGGAATTTGAGCTATACTGGTGGCTTCAGACAAGGGTAGGAAATGATCGCTCGATTCTTAAACTTGGCAAAGACTACACTCTCTCTTTTATCAAAACTCCAGGACTAAGTTTCAATGAGTTTCTTGGGAGGTTTTTGTAATGAAAGATGAGATAAATGAAGGCTAAAGACAACTTCACTACTTTTGGCAAGACAATACTCTTGTTTTTAAAGCTTTCTTTTCTTTCTAAAACTCTATTTCAAACTCATCATGCCCTCTACACTTCTTCTCTCAAATTCATCTCCCCAAATTCAAGACTTGAGCCCTCCTTATATAGGCAATGCAAGTGAAGCAATGGTGGAACACAAAGTGGAGAACTAATGGAGTACAAATGAAGTTAATGGAACACAAATATGGAGTATTACCCTCAATGGATCAAGCACTACAATAGAGGCTGAGTATACATGCATTTGGTGCAAAAATGGGTCAAAAAATGGGATTGTGAAGTGCCCCACCCGAACCAACAAAACAATTAGTCTGCACTGCCCTTGGGCAGTTGACCAGCCGAACAACCGGGCGGTACCGACCAAGGAAAAAGTTGGTCGTTTTACTTCGATTCAGTCCAGCTTCGCTCCGATTGTCCGACGGGGCTTAAACACTTGACCAAAGCAAGCTTAGGGTTGCGAACAAAGCTCAAATTCCATCTTTTTACTAAGGATTTTGTGGGAAACACCTTCTTATTTTCATCTTTAGGTGACCATAAAAAAAAGCCCAAGTCTTAGAGCTGGTCAAAATAGGGTGTATACATTT